GGCAGTTGGTGGTGATGACTAGCTGCCTTCCCTTTAATCTTACACTGCTAAACTAGGGATGGCTAGCACAGATAGCCCTCATGTAGATTTGTGCAAAATTCCAAACAAACCAAACTGCTGCCGCTATAATGAAAATTTAGTATTTTTAACCAAGTTATTAATGGTAATTAGTAGTCCTACTTACTTACGTGCTCTAATATAAATTAATGCCAAACAAAAAAAACAATATCTTTTCAAAAATATGATTAACCTAATTCAAAAAACTGACCTCATTCATAGAAGTAAATGTGCTTTGTTGGTCAGTTGTTTTAGCACCTCTATAGAAGAGACAACCAAATTTTTTTTATTATAATTTATTACCTTGGATAATTCTGTATTAATGCAGTGTATATTGTTTTCCTTTTTTCTCCAATATTATCATTAGTTTGCAGTTATTAAAAAAAATTCCATAAATGTATAGTAAAAATGTTCTTCTAAAGATTTCACAATCCTTCTAAGCCCAGGAATTTTATATTATCTTGTTGGTATTACTTTGATGTTACACATTAATTTCTCAAATAATTATTTTATTGAGAATTTTATGGTAATTTATTGTTTTTCTTCAATCTTTTTCTCTAGCTATATGATCAGACAAAGATTAGAAGCCCATGGATTATCAAGAGCTATAATCAACATTCCTGTAAATGTTACTATGGTTCCACTTCATCAACAGAAACAACCTCCTTGGCTGATTTGGTGATAGTTGCCGTTAATTTTACCTGATCATTCTAGTCTAATGATGAATATTTACATTTATTTGATTGACAGTTGGGAAAACAGAGGAGGTTATCTGACTTCCAGTAAATAAAATGATCTTTAGAAAAATAGATAAATATGAATTCATGTAAGATACCATTTAACATGAAGATTAACTCTCTCGTATTGCCTACACTGTTTAGGTACCTAAATGTATATGTAACAGGATTATATACGAGTTTCTTTTTTTTAATTATACAGTTCATTAACCAGATTTTAAATGTGACATTCTAAGCTTAAAAACAACATAACAATTTTCTTTTTTAATTCATGGGTAATATGACTTAGCTTTTATTTGTGGCACTGAACACTTTCTACACAGTTGCTTATAAACTTTCTACCACACCTGCACATATACTGGATAAAACTCCTAACTGTTAAGGGATCAGCTTAAAATTTAAGATTATTGGTCAACAAGTGAAATATTTGTTGATATAAGAGGCAAACAGTATAAATGTTTGAGAATTTTAGATAAGATGCTACCATTCATAACTTAAGGAAATGATACAAGCTTGATCATCAAGTTTGTCATGCTCATGTCATATATATATAATGTCTATATAATACTGTGAGATTGTTGGATTCATGGGTAGATCACTGCTAATCTAACATCAACTAGAAAGAATGTTAATAATCACATTGTTAAGAAAGCTTACATAACTTTATTTTAGTGGCAATTTGAATATTGACTGACTATATAAAACAATATAAGCAACTAACAATGTTAATAATACAAGTGAAGATATTATTGTAATATTTAAGTAGAAACTAAAATATTTTATTTTATATGAGCTATATTTTACTTTTGGAATAAATGACCTATTGTAAAAATTATTTAACTGTCTTTGCGTTATACTTGCAGTACATTGATTTTCAAGGTAACACAATTTTGTTTGATATGAATTTTGTGGCAGTTTATGTTAATTTATTGACAGCCAAATTAATACATGCATACCCAGCTCTATGCTAATATAGGGATAAGCTAAAGAAGCTTGTATTTTATAAAGTACTTGCTTCTCTTGATCTTCTTTCTTTTCAACTGTACAAAGTGGTTCCCTCATTTTCTGTGTAATTAATTTCTCTTAATTAAATCAACATTTATACTTTAATTTTTTATATGCAGACAGAAAAATGTTTAGTAGCTAAAGAGTAAACATGTAAACATGTATCTTTTTTAGAGCAAAAGTAATCTCTTTATTGAGCACATGGGCATTTTTAACATATTAATTTTGTATTTTACTTGTCCCATTTTTTAAAGGTTCTATCTTTTTGAAGAAACATTAAAAAAATTTAAATAAAAAATCATGATTTTCTTCCTTGTATTTCTCACAGAACTTTTAATATCGCTAATGACCTTTTCACAGATTTTCTGTAAACGTTGTTGTTATATGTACATAGTATAGTTAAATACATTTCTTAGTCTCTATATACCTTCTAAATTTTCATTTACACCATTATATCAAACCAAATAATGTACATGTCAGAGTGTGATATTTTCACATATTCTTAATTTTTTGTGTGCGTGGAACCTGAAGATCCAAAATAATTGAAGTGGTTCTTCTGAGCCATGCTACATGTTGTTTGTCACAAAGAACAACTGAGTGATATTATAGATTAACAGGTGTTTGCCAAGTAGCCAATAATTTTCATGATACAAAACAAAATTGTGTTGGTTCCCTAGTTAGCATTTGTCAAACATAAACTTTCAGAATGATGGTCTAGAAAAATTCTGGCAGCTCATCAGCAGACAGACATCCATTGATCTTGTCAATGAATCTGTTCATCCAAAAATATTAGTATAGTGAACAAAAATTCTCAAAATAAACATTTAATTTTTAAAATTTAAACATCACCATGGCAGGTAGGTAAGCATGTGTTGTACCTCACAGGTGTAGTTACATCACATACATGTATAAAGTTAAACTATTCTTCGGTGCAATTTAATCATTATGAATGAAACTGCTTTGAGGACTAATAACTTTTAGTACAAGCAGTGCTTTTTTTACATCTAACTTTGTTAAATAGTGGTAATTTGATAGGACTAATCATTTTTATTCATAACCATTAGCTCTCAAGAACCATTGCAAATTATTTAGGAAAAATAGATGTTCTTTAGATCATTTTTTTGGGAAACACTGATAAAGAAGGTTTTGTAGATATCATTTTAGTTTCATTCTAAATGGATTTTTTTTAGTAGTAGTTCAAAATAGTATTTTAATGTTGATACATTGGGTTTATTATACATATATAACACTAGAAGACTTCAGCTGAACCTACAAAAAGGATTATGTTAAAATAGTGTCAATTCCCTTTTTAAAATACAAGAAGAAAAAGCATAGCTAGCTTCTGTTATAATACTAAAATATGTTAATTAATCTGAAGAGATTTTTTAGTATATTAATATTCCAAAATTTCTGAGACTTGTGTATTTTGAATGTTACCTTGTATAATAGTTTTTAATTAATCTTTTAGAGAAAGCAGTAACATAGAATTGGTTTCTACTAGTTTATATGTTCCAATTATATTCCAATACTTAAAAATTGAAATGTATATAGATATATATATGTGTTCAAACAACCATAGGTATTCATTTAAATTACAGTAGTTTTTGTTTTCAACAAGCAATTCGTGACTTAACCAGAAAAGATTTTCAGTATTTGGGTAGGATTCAATCTGCTGGGTAGCTCTGGATGATGCCCATCAATTGAGCCAAGCCAAAAACAGTACACGGCTTACCACCACTGTTTATTGCCCCTCCGCCAACTTCTTTCTTCACATTCCTCTTGTAATTAGAGACCTCTTGTAGAACCTCGAAAATACCCGGTTATATGTGGATGTTGTTTTTCACTTTAAGTATTTATTTGAATTGTCACACTTGTCAGAAATAAACCTTGTTTGACCTATTTTACAGATTACTTTTGCAGTTATGGTGTTCCATCATGATAACGTCTCTGTTGCTTTGGTAATATTTCGATAATTTGTTGACCTTGCACGTATAAATCAGCTTTGAAATTGAAAGTTGAAACTCTGACATTTTTATGGAATTTGGAAAAGACTGAAGAAAAGCAGCATGTTCTCAGTAAAATTGTATTAGAACAGCTGATGTACTGAGCCAATTTTCTGCAAAAAGTACTTCTCTCATTTTCAGGATTGCCCCACACCATTCCATTCTTCATAAAGTAAGTTCCATTCTGACAAAATGTAAGGCAATACATCAAAATCCCAATGAAACCATTGTATATCATACAGCCACTGCAGAAATTGGCTTCCACAATAAGGGACATGCAAATTGATTTGACAAAAACAATGATAACATTCAAGAATTGTTAATTGAGAAAAGGCTATACAAGCCGTATTTGATGGCAGGCACACTCAACAAGCCACTAAGTGATGGAAAGCAGCTAAATCAAACTTCAAGATGAATGGTGGCTAAAAAAGGCAAAGGAGATACAGTCCTTAGCTGACAAACACAATACAAAAGGTTTTTTTGACAGTTTAAAGATGGTATATGGACAAAAGCACAGAGCAACTGTCCCACTCAAGAGTCTTGATGGTTCCCAACTGTTTACAAACAAGGTTGATATCTTCCAGAAATGGAAAGAACACTTTGATACTTTGCTGAATAAAACCTCAGTGATTCAGGATGCAGTTCTGGATCATGTGCCACAACTTCCAATCCATGCAATGCTTGATGACCTACTAACTGTGGAAGAACTTGTAAAAGCAATGAAAAATTACCGGGCTTGGATGGTCTACTTGCCAACATTTTTCAAAGTGGAGGACTATTATGTACCTTTTTGAATGATGTTGGCAAGCTGGAGAACTACCTCAGGAGTTCAAAGATGCCCTAATTGTAAAAAGCTATAAACATAAAGGGTATTAACATGACTGTGGAAATTATCAAGGTATTTTGTTCCTGTCTATTGCAGGAAAAATTCTGGCCAAAATACAACTTAGATGGTTCCAAACGACCTTTGATTGAATACTACCAATGTGGTTTTTGAGTGAACAGAAGCATGACTAATATGATGTTCTCCTTGCAGCAAATTCAGGAAAAATGTATCGAACAAAACATACTGCTGTATGCCATGTTTGTTGATTTCACCAACAGTGTAAGGAGAGAAGTGCTGTGGCCACTGCTTGCTAAAGATGGCTGTCCTCAAAAATTTCTTGCAGTTGTTTATCAATTTCACAATGGCATGAATGGACAGGTACCACACTGGGGTGCCACATCAGAAGCCTTCGTAATACTGCATGGTGTCAAACAAGGTTGTGTATTGGCTCCCACTTTATTTACTCTGTGTTTAGCTGCTATTCTGGATTGCACATATGCTAATATTGCTGAGGAAATTCATATTCATATAAGAATTGACAGCAGTCTTTTCAATCTCGCAAGACTGAGGATTTGCACTAAGACCATAGAAATCTGTCAAGAAGGTGCTGATTATGCAGCATCTGTATCTGATTTGATAGATGGGCTGCACATGATTCTAGATCACTTTTCCAAAATATCCTCTGCTTTCAGGCTAACAATTAACATCAAAAAGACCAAATCTTCCATCAGCCATCACCTAACTCTCACTATGTATAGCCAACTGTTCTTCTCTCTAATGACAAAATAAATTTTGTTAACCAGCTCATTTACCTTCGCAGTACAGTGACTAATGGCAATGGCCTCAATGCAGGATCCGAGGAGCATCTGCCTCTTTCAGGCGATTATAGAGAGGGTCTGGAAAGAGCGTGGCATACGACCAAAAACCAAGTGCAAATTATATCAAGCTGTGGTACTGAGCTCCCTACTATATTGTTATCATATAAAGAGATTGTCCATCAGACACCTCAGAGTAATCCTGAATATATCTTTGGAAGACCAAATCATTAATGATGAGGTCTTGAAGTATGCCGACATGCCCAGCATAAAAGACAACTGTGCTGGGCTGGTCATGTGATGCGTATGCCAGAACATAGACTTCCAAAGGCTCTACTTTATGGAGAACTTTCTTCTGGCCAGTGGCAGAGAGGTGGACTAAAGCAGTGTTACAAAGATGTAATAAAGCATCACCTGAACACAGCTGATATACCTACTAGCAACTGGGAGTCCCTAGCCAAATGGTGCATATCCATCAAGGATGGTTCAGGGGTTGCACACCAAAAGTGAGTAACCATCATGCCTTGCCTACAGTTCCTTGCACAGTACAATGCAACATTTGTGAAAAAAAATGTGCTCCAATCACACAACTGCTGGAAGCACAGTTGGCAATCCAAATGTTGATGGTTTCTTCCCCCTTCTTTAAATCATCTTTGATTATTAAAGGATTGCCAGTGATGATATATTCTGACAAATTTGCATGCAATACATCAAAATCCCAGATTTACCTAGCTGAAAGCAGTTTAGCAAAAGAGCTCTTGTTATGTCAGAGACTGTTTGTTAAATTAAAGCATACTAATTTAATATTTACTATCAACATATTAAAATACCTTGGGTGTTTTTATAATGTAATATATCATCATGGTTATTTAACCATTACTATTTAGTGGAATAATTGGTTATTTATTTATTTGTGAACTCCTTTTCCTCACCAGAACATGAATTTCAGTGAAGAAAAGATGATGTAGGGGCCAAATCTATTCTTTGATTCACTACTTCCAACTAAATAGTAAAGTATTGTCACTAACAATGAAGTAGGACTTATCAAATG